TACCGCAGCAGCTACTGCCGACCACCTACTAGCTACCAGCGGCAGTGTGTGACTGCTGCCAACCAGCACCTCCGTGTGCACGACGACACACAGGCTTTGCCCGGTAAACGGGCACTGTTCGATCGTGTGGATGGGGCTTTATGAAAGACAGGGCATGTTAAATCATTTGCAGCCTAAACTAGTCATGAAAATTTAACAGGAATATTCAGCTCTCCATAAGTTAATTAAAATCACAAAGTTAAGTGAGACACACACTTGTTAACTAATAACATGTGTTGCAGTGCTACTACGGATAATATTTACCCAGGTTTGGGGTAAAAGGTCATACCTTAATCAAATGTATAGCTTTGAAAACACTCGTGTATTTATTTTTATTTTTTAAAGGTTCCTTTATTTTGTAATATGTAGTTAATTTCCAATTCAATCTGTTTTATTGATTAGTTTGTATTTTTTGAAGTATGATTCAAGTAGGTTGAAACAGAAATAATGGTGCAAATTCACCAACAGCCTACTGTAATCACTGCTATTTAGCACACATTATTCTCCAAAGAGCAAGTTGTTGCATTGGTTCCTTCATAAGGATGTGCTGTCTCATGCTAAATTGTATAGCTTAACAAGCCAAGAGTTTGCTATTTTTTTCTTTATTACTTATTGTAGTACAGTATTTGGTTACAAGTTTACTTTAATATACGGGTATTGATGCAGGTGCATTCTAGTCATGAGAGTTCCAAGAGTAACTCTAGACATATGAAAATTATACTGTATTTCATTTTTAAATCTTAAAAATGGCAACAAATAACAGTAGTTCTATTAATTTTTCACAACGATGTGGTGACCCATGTCAAATTGTGTAGTTTAAGAAGTAAACAGTGGCAACATTTTTTTATTGTTTCAATTTCTCAAATCTGTTTAAACTAATGATTTTTATTTTCGCAAACTTTAGTGCCTTTGGTATTTAGTAGTACAGTGACCCCCCCCGTTAACGAATTCAATCCGTTCCAGAAGGTCGTTCGTTAACCGAAACCATTGTTTCAATGGGTTTTTGGGTAATTGGTTCCAGCTCACCGAAAATTTCCTAAATTCAACAAAAATGGTAGAAAAGTTCACTTACTTTGAGGTGTGTATGTAGAAGGCTCCTGGATGATGATGATGGGATTTAGAATGGGGGTGGAGTTGAAGGAAGAAGAGAAGGCATTGGGGTGGAAGAGAAGTCACCCCATGGCGCCATTTCACCCATAAAATTTTAACTCTCTTGGTGTAATTCAAGATTATTTTCTTTAAATCAACACTGCACTGCATTATATATTGTCAATATGTAAAATATATTTCAAAATGACCAATAATTTGCTTGGAAACACAGAAAAAAGTGTTTAGTTGAAGAGTCTCAAGCAAGATGTTACCTCCAGTGAAAAGAGAGAGAGACTAACTCCCGTTTACTGTGTTAAGAGGCTGGATGCCGCGCATTAAACTAGTCACTTTACCTTCAATTATGTTCAATAATTGTTAAAATGACTAAAAAATTGAATATTAAGCTTTTAAAATTATTGAATAGTATAAACTTCTTGATATTTAATAAAATAGTAAGGAATTTAAGCCCTAGAACCGATTAATGTATTGGCGGACTGATACTAAAGCTGGTTGCCCGGTCAGTGCAAGCGAAAACATGTTGAGGTCGGTTCGTAAGAACTTCGTTAACCGAATTTTTTTCGTTAACCGAATTTTTTTTCATTAACCGAATTGAAGATCCTTATGGAAGGCAGTTTGTTAATCGAAATTACGTTAACCGAGGTGTTCGTTAAACGAGGGGTCACTGTATTAAAAGTATACTGTACTCAGTGTACTGTATCGGAATCAAATTTGCTCAAGGATATAGTACATACTGTATTTTCCTGTATTTTCCTATATTTTCCTGTATTTTCCTATGAAGGTAAAAGAAAGCCATTTTTTTCTGTATTTTCTATGAAGAAGTTTATTTTATTATGTACAGTATATTGAAAATAAAAGTTAAATCAATGTATGCTTTATTAGCATTACCTCTGTATACTGCAATAAAAAATAATTATTAAACAGAGGAAAAAAATGGTTTACAAGTTTGTTACAGTAGTGTTTTTATGTTGATACTAACTTATTCAAAGTTTTATCATTAGGCCTAGAATAGAAGGGTTATGCCCGAGAAAAAAAAAATTACGGCCTTAAGGTTTTGCCTGGCATTAGGGGTAAAATACTAAAACATGCACAGCGTGTTAAAATATCTGTACTCATTAAAAAATGAATAAAATTGTTCAATATGAAAGTAAATAAGTGTTAAAAGCATTTAAAAGACATCCTCTTGTCTGTCACATACTCGCATTTGAAAATGCTTTATGGTAGGAACAGCAACATTCTCAGGAGCCGTAGAGTCTTTTGACCCGTGTTCATTTTATTAGTTAGCAATGTCTCCGTTAGCCGGAATCCCTGAAACCCAGAACTTTCTAAAAGCAGTAATTGAAATTTTATCTAAAATTAATTCCCAAAGCATGATTTTGCAGGAAACTTATGGCTTAGGTAATGACTTTCAAAGGGGCACATTTTCCTGAAAATTATGAGAAAAGGTTCCCAGATAACCGAGAAAATTCCGGAGATGGGGGATATATTTCTGGGTTCGAGAGATGATGTAATGGGCAATTTCAGGAACTACAGAGAACATTTTTCCATTACCATAAACATTTGGGGGACGAGGGATATTTTCTTGACTTGAGATAATCGTCTCGTTAACGGGAAAACTCTCATTCACAGAAGTGCTCTACACCAGGGGTTTTCAAACTATGGGTCCCGACCCTTCAGTGGGTCGCGAAATAAATAAATTGGGTCGCAAAATAAAAATGGGTCGCGAAAATAAATAAGAAATGGATCATGAGAAATTTACATGAATTTTGTCGATGCTAAATAAAGGAAAATTGTGAACAGTGTTTGTCTTTGATTTACTCATTTCATATCATTACACTTAGGTTTAATGGGTCGCAATTCAAATTGTTGTTATGGCTGTGGATCGCAGTAAAAAAAAGTTTGAAAAACACTGCTCTACACCAATTGTTCCGGCTAACAGAGATCTCACAGTATTTGGTGTTTTACCCATAATAGAATTTGGGTAAATAACCATGGGCCTAATGTTGGCCTGTGACAAGACACACTGCTATAATAAGATAGCCTTATTCTGAGCAAATTCAAATAAATTGGATAATGATAGCATAGCCTTGCCTAACCTAAATGACAAATCACTTCTCTTAAATTACTCATTTAGCCTAGAACATGGTGTTTTCCTTTCAATGTTTGGATCATTTTGTCTGAATTGTCTTCAAGTTCATACAAAAAACAACAATTTAAAACCTGAAAATATATCGCATTAACCGTAAATTTTCTTAAATTAATACTCTACCCGATGATACTGTTCATGGAAAGTCTGGAACTAGGCCTAAGGTAGCTGCTAGACAAAGTGTCTCACTGACGGCCTGACACTCGCCAAAAAACCATGTACACATTCTCTAACATAACATAACCAAACCTAACCTATTGGTATAATTTCTTATTTAAATATTCCTCATGTTCTAACTAAATTAAGTAGGCCCCACATTTAAACATTTATTTGCCTTGGACTGAAAAAGCAGTTTTATATGCCCGTAGCTTAATCAAGTTAATTGCAATCCATATTTTACGCCTAAAATCATTTAATTTTGGCTAGCCTATGGAAACTTAGAGCTGTTCATGTTATCATAAGCCATATACATAAGAAAATAGGCTAAGGCTATTGGTTGAATATTAGAAAAACAAGGCGAAGTCTAGGCATAAGGTCTATCTGCAAGTTTTTTCAGTCATAAAAAATAATTTTACCCTAAGTGTGAACAATACAAACCTTCTGTTGGGGTAAAAAAATACTTTATAATTTGTAAGAAGACAAAAGATGCGTCTCTTCCAAACTGCAACAAATACAAACAATCAAGCCTCTTATTATCGTAAAAAAAATGTACGAAAAAGACTGAAATATTATATTTCAGTATGTTAATGTACAAAACATTTTCTTCATTATTCTATAATAAAACAAGTCTAACAAGCATTATTACAACATATATTATTATTATTTTTTATACAATCGGGAATTAACGACTACTACATCTGGATTGAGTGTGTTACAGAACCTCAGGAGGTGGTGTAAGTTATGTGCTAGATTATGGGCTCACTTACGGAGTTCGATGTCAAATATTTGTTTTGAGTATCCCGATCTGAGACTGTAAGTCCAGTTACGGGGTACACAAAGACATACAGTCCCATAAATGTTTTTGAGTATCAGGCCCCTGTACTGCAATTATGTTAAATAAGTGTTAAAATTACTACAAATTTTAATATAAAACTTGGAAAATTATTGAATAGTACAACCTTCTTGATATTTACTCAAATGGGAATGAATTTAAGCCCTAGAACCGATTACTGTATTGGCAGACTAATATTCCAGCTGGTAAGCAAGCGAAAACATGTTAACACGATTTCGTAAAAATTTCATTAACCAAATTGAAGATTCTTATGGAAGGTAATTCGTTAACCGAAATCTCATTAACCGAGGCGTTCGTTAACCGAGGGATCACTGTACAATAATATACCCGTACTCGGAATCCCGGAAATCTCCAATAGCAGGAATTGAAATTTGCTCAAAAAATCATCACAAAAGCCGTAATTTTCCAAAAACTTCCGGCTTTAGGAACAAATTTTCTGAGGTTGAAAACCGAGAGAATTTTCTGAAAATGTCTTGAATAAAGATGGTTTGGGAAGGGAGGGTGGGGGTGTCTGACCGGACCTGGCTCCATGTCAGGTGGAGGTAGGGTATAAGTGGTCCCGTATGCACAAATATTAAAAGAGCACAATTTTCTTGATATTTACTCCAATAGAAATGAATGTAAACATAGAAGAGATCACTGAATTGGCTGAGTACCTCCTCAGCTTATCAGCTGATGTTCAAAACAAAACGTGATTTTCGTAAGGATTTCGTTAAACGATTTTTTTTCGTTAACCGAATTGAGGATTCTCATGGAAGGTAATTCATTAACCGAAATTTCGTTAACCGAGGGACAACTTTTCTATAACAGGGTGGACAGAAGATAAATAAAATTTCAGGTATTTTCCAGGTTTTTAGGCCATTTTTCAAAATTTTTCCAAGCAAGTATTAAGCTGTTTAGGCATTAATAATGGTATGAATTAAAAAAAAAAATTTTAATGGTCCTGTACAGATGAACAAAGAACCTTAACCCTTAGGCCCCGGGTGACATTCCAGAACGTCCGCCAATTTTCCCGCCATTTTTTTTTATTAATTTTGGAAATGTTGATTTTTTTTCTTGATTTAACTCAGGGTTAGAGTACTGCCAGCAGCAAATACAGTAATGGCATAAACCAAAGAGCCTAGTGATATTAATCAACCCTCTGGCTCCAGGAGTGTACCTCAAGCTGCATAAAACTGTCTGACCGTAGCCAGAATTAAATGGTAAGTGAGGGACTCGCAGCAAAGAGTTAATGAAAACAATTGTAAATCTATCGGTATTTTTCTGTACTTTGTAGCCTAATTTTGAAAAAAAAGTTTCATCAGTGCTTAACAATCATCTTCAATAACTTTATCCAGGCACACACCCAAATTTCAGGCATTCTTCAGGTTCCCAGGCACCAAATGAAACTTCAGGAATTATACTCTTTGGAAGTGCGAAACTTGCCACTTAGGTTCATTTACAGCTCCTCCCCGACTTACGACCCGCCTCAGTTGTACCAAAATTTTTTCAAATTACGTATTTTCGAGTCCCAACGTCAGTGATTGCACTGTGCACCGACAAAATATTTGTTTGTAATTCACTTTAAACTGGCTGGCAAGCTTAAAAGTGAGAGTTTTGTGGAGCTGAGAAGAAAAAGAGACACTCAATTTAAATTTCGACTTACGACATGGATTTGGGTCCCTAGCCCCGTCGTAATTTAAGTCGGGGAGGAGCTGTATTTGTGGTTTTGCTGTAAAAATAAAGGATTGCTAATAATCTAATTCTAAAACATGTCTTAAGTCATTGTTTTTTGACAAGGGGTATGAGAAAATAATCTGAGAACTGAATGGGTGAAGAAACCTAAAAAGATTAACTACCACTACCTGCATTATATTAATTGACACTACCGGTAAACCAACCTTAAGTTGTAGCAAAATCACCTCCCATTCCAGCAGCTGCTGCTTCAGTGCAGAAACACCAAAGGAAATTTAATTCTATTTCCCATGAACTGGAAAGAATATGAAAGAAAAGATTTACAAATCCAGTAATAACCAGTACAAATTTAAATTATTCAGTAATTCAAAACTAACCGCTCAGCTCTCATAATCAATGCACATATGGCACCACAACCTAGTTCTGGATTGACCTAGGGACCCAGCAGCACAGACTAGTCTGAATTGAGTTATGACCAAAGTCACCTTGCTCATCACACTCAACTAAGCTGGACACAAGATCCTTCCAACCAAGACCGAGAGATTGTCTCCAACTGTTAGACCTTAACACATGTCCTAGACTTGCCCTCAGTCAGGGTACCTAAGGATTTCTGGTGTTCTGCCCCTCCTCTCGAAGGTTGCCCGCCTGGAGCATTACTGTCCCTTCTCTCAGACCTTCCCAGGGGTGACGGGAAACAATAATCCTGTGCTAACCCTTAGAGCAAGCTTGTGCTGCCTAGTCACCCAAGATCACCATAAACTAGGCCAGCCTTCGCACTGGATTTTGTCATCATAGCTCTTTATTAAGTTTAACCAATAAGTCATTCTCAGTTCATTAGGAAGAAGACAAAAGTTTGAAACAAAAGTTAAAATCATAAACACTTACCTTCTATTCACACTTGTTTATTTTCAGTACCTTAGTCTATGCACCTATTTTCACACAGTCAGTCCTCTGGTCCTGTTGAATATAAGACATTGCAGTTATATTGCCAACATGTACTATACACAGAATTATTTACACAAAGGACACTTTTACAACTACAGTATAAGAGAATACAATGTATTTTCTGCCAAATAAGATGCAATTCCCTGAACTAAAGGCAAGACTCCCTCAATTAACACACCAGATACTTGATGACTTCCAAATGAAATATGATCTTAAATGATTAAACATGATGGTGCCAGTGTAATGTTGGGGAAAACTCTGGTGTGGCTCAACGACTGTTGCAGAAGTACCCTAATATTATAGAATGGCATTGCTTAAATCATCGCTTGGAATTGTCAGTAGCAGATACAATTTCTGAAGTACATGGAGTTAATAATTTTCGTTCATTTATGGATAAACTGTACTCTTCATACAGTCAATCTCCTAAGAACCAGAGAGAAATTCAACAGTGCGCAGCAATGCTTGATGAACAGATAAAAAAAATTGGAATAGTGTTAGGAACTTGATGGGTTTCAAGCTCCTTCAGCAGTTTGGAATGACTATGCATCTCTGTGTTATCATTTTGAGCATGTTGGCAGTGACAGTGAAAAAAATCGATCAAAAGTTAACCAGTGTACCCTCAGGGGGCTTCATAAACACATTTCATCAAAACAGTTTCTCCTTGATCTGGCACTTATGTGCGATGCATTATTTGAATTATCTCTTCTTTCGGAGTCCTTACAGAAAAGGGATACTACTATAGTTTATGCAGACAAGTTAATTCGTAGCAGCATACGATTTTTAGAAGCAATAAAGGAATGCAAGGGTAAAAAAGTCTTTGAAACAGAAAATGCCATTAAGGAAATGAAGTTTGCATCAGTGACACTGACAGATAACACCAAGATTGTTTCAATCAATCATGGTCAGTTTTTAACCAGTATCACTCAGTATTCACATCAACTACTTCCCATGAATCAACAAAGTCCCTCCCAGCAACTTCTGACTCCTTTCCAAACATAATTTCTGAGCTGGGTATCATAGAAGTCGATAATTGGCCAGCTGAGATAAATCCAGGATTTGGAGAAAATGAAATAGTCCCTTTGTAAACGTTTTAGATTGCCATTTTCAAAAACAATCACAGTAGACAGGGAGTATCTAGACAACGGTGGGCGACATATTCCCCCAGACCTGAAGCCTTTAATTGGATGTTCAAAGGTATTCCCATGCAGCTCTTCTGAATGAGAACGGGGCTTTAGCAGCATGAACCTTATCGTGACGCAAACGAGGTCTAGGCTGTTAATCAACCGTGTGAGCAATCTCGTGTTTATTAAACTTCACGGTCCTCCGCTCCCTACCTAGAAACCAGACGACTACGTACACAAATGGCTTAGGCGTCATCGTTCAGCAACTGATACACAAACAAGAATAGCCAAGTCCAAGGATCTCACTGTGGACCCAGTTTGGAAATTCTGTTAAAAATTTCTCCAAGACTGCAAAAGTTAAGGTGAGCCTAAATAGATTATTTTTTAAATTGTATTTAATAAATAGTATTGCTTTGAGACTGTGAAATCATGATAAGCTACACATCACCCTTATCGGTTTGGTATCGAAACTGGGGGTAAAAATGTCGCCCGCGTGTATACTACAGTAGGATGTAGGGATCTGGGAAGTTCAGCTTATCTGTCTGTGATCGTCTGTCTGTCACGAAACTCCTCCGACACAATGGGACCACTTGTTACCAAAATTGGCACATACAGTGGGGTATGCTATAACGAATCTAATTGGTTCTAGAACCTTTTTCGTTATAGGATTAATCCGTTCCAGGCCCCCAAATACAACCACTTAACACTGAAAAATATATAAAATTGTAAAAAAGTGCATAAATATGCATCTAAGCCCCAGAAATAAAAAATGTCATTAATACTTGGAATAAAAAACAACAAATTAGTAAAAAAGTTAGTTGTAGGAGTTGCGTTCGTTATAGCATTCTCAATTTTATAGGTAAAACCGTTCGTTATAGGAATATTCATAGTAGAATCCATTCGTTATAGCATACCCCACTGTAGATTGATTAGACCTATGCGAGGGTCAGTTAAGCATTGATATAAATGATATTGTCTCCATCCCCGTGTGCCCAGCCATCTTTTCTACTAATGCAAGTGTTAAAAAACCTAATATTATTGATATTTCTCTTAATTATTAATTGTGTGTGCATACCATCATAAAGTTAAGATAAAATTTTTACTACAACATAGTTGTGTGTCGTCAAAAAGTGGAGTTTGGGGGTCGGGCCAGTCTCTATTGGAATTAATCCCATATGTTCTGTTGTTCACTTAACGCGGTTTTCACTTAACGCGGTACCCTGTGGGTTCAATTGACCGCGTTAAGCGGGGTACTACTGTACCTGTATGTATGTTGTATAGTCAAAGAGAAACCATTGAGACCCTGCAGAATGTCAGATCATCAACCTGGGACTTGGTCACATAGCAGCAGGGTCTACCATTAGACAATACATTATACTTCCAATATCTTCCCAGACGGTAGTACCTCCTTGTTTGGTACATTAGCTGCCTAATACCTACACCAGTGTAACTGTTGCTTGATATACAGCCCTTTTGGCACAAGTACACACACCTCTTTGAATATCATCACTTAGAACTGCTTATCAGTTGTCATTTTCATCAATTTAAAAAAAAATCTATACAAGAAGGTGAAGTCTTTAATACAGCACTCATTTTATACACCTGGTCACCTCCATGTCTTAGGGGCTGTAGTGTTTACATTCTTTCTCTTGTTTTTGTCGGTATGACAACGACGGGAAATATTTTCCAACAGTAGAAGGTAAGCAAATGTAAACATGTATATCAACGTCTATATACAGTGAGTTCTGCTATAACGCGTGTTTTGATAACGCGAATTTGATCGAACGCGATTTATGAATTCGGAACAATATTTGTTAACGCGAACTCGTTTGCTCTAACGCGATTCCACTCGAACGGTTGTTGTGGCTTCAGTTCACGTTCGACATCACATGTTCAATTGAGTTATGTGTTTTGTTTGTGAACAATTGCAGAAATAATGTATGTAATATTTATGTATACAGTATACCTATATATTATAAGTAAATTGTAAAATTTTACATAAGAGAAAATCAAATTACATAGCGTTTTACACCCGCGCTCTCTTTACATCACACACAGTGTTTACAGTTCACGTTCGACATCACATATTCAATTGATTTATGTGTTTTGTTTGTGAAGAATTGCAGAAATAATTTATGTAATATTTATGTATACAGTAAACCACTCACAAGGTCCTACAGTACCACTAATTATTTTATACTGAAACTTACGTTTGGGAAGCTGGATTAAAATGAAGATTACCGGTATATTAAAATAATAAAAATGTATTATAAACCAGTCTAACATACCGTAATAAACACAGCTGCTATTATCATCCACCCCCCACCCCCATTTGCCAGTGACAAGAAAGGGAAAGTGACCTTGACTGTGACCGCCTGTGGCTATTTTTAGCCGTCCTTGTGTTCGGAGGTGGTCAGTAATGCATATCTGTATATTTACTGATCAATATATTTATCTCCTATAAATAATTCATTTAAAATTTATTTTTTTGCAAAGAATATTCAGTAAATGACTGCATTAATTCTTGAAACTACCTACAGTGGTAAATTTAGGATATAAATAATGAACAGAAGTCACGTCATGGATTCGGAGTTTGGTCCTTAACGATCACCATAAATGTAGCCTCCCTTTTTCGCGAAACACGTATATAAATTAAAGAAAATACTTGCAGTATATTTAATATATTACAGTATATTATATATAAATAAATAAACAAATAAATTCAAATTCCTTATCATCCTGTGTCATATACAGAAATACTTGAGTCCCTGAGCGAGTACACAAAAAGAAAACGGACATCCTGGAGTGGATAGAGAACGGACATCTCTACTGGGGGACTCAAACGTTTCTCATGTTTTGTGGGCGCTCTAGCATAATATGAATAATATGTAAATTACAATTTACTTATACAGGTATATATATATATGTAAATTGTAAAAATTTAAATAAAAGAAAAACTAAATACGTAGCGTTTAAAGTGTACTGTACAGTATGTACAGTGCTGTGGCTTGGCGCGGGGTTATGCAGTGTTTACAGTTCACGTTTGACATCACATGTTCAATTGATTTATGTGTTTTGTTTGTGAACAATTGCAGAAATAATTTATGTAATATTTATGTATACAGTATACCTGTACAGTATATGTAAAATGTAAAATTTTAACTAAGAGAGAAAAACAAAATACGTAGCGTTTTAGACCTGCGCTCTCTTTACTCCACACGTTCACTTTGCTAGACGTGAGAAATTTTTAAGCGTCCTCAGTGCTTTCTGATTTACTGTTTCCCCAATTTTGTGACTATGGAAAAGAAGAATATCTCCGGGAAGCATTCTGGTGATCGCATTTCTGGTGGTGATCGTAAAAGAAAGGCTATAACACTTGAAGGCAAGCTTGATGTTGTCAAGCGTTTTGAAAATAAGGAAAGAACATGTGATATTGTGCGTGCAACGGGAATAAAGGAGTCTACTTTGCGCACCATTAGAGCCAATGCAGCAAAGATTAAAGCAAGCTGTGTTGCTGGAAAAACCAAGAGAGCTAGCAAAAGTGTAAGATCACGGCCAAAGGAACTTGAGGAGATGGAATGGCTTCTAAGTGTTTGGATAGAAGATCAAACGAAAAAGCGATCTGGGACCAGCTTCCTCACCATTAAAGAGAAAGCCTTGTCAATATATGAGGACCTAAAGAAAAAAGCTGAAAATCCTGATGATGTGGTTGCCTTTAGTGCAAACATTAGACGTCTTTTTTAAGTCAACCCCCAAGAAGCAGACTGAAGACACTGAACCACAGCCATCCACTTCTGGAATTAGACGTTTTTTTCTTCCCTCCCATGCAACCAAAACTGCACCTGATGATGATGATACTGATGATGACGATGACAATTGTCAAATCCTGTC